TAACTATATTTGCTTTATATTTCCGACCCCCCAATTCCACCCATTTCTGAAAATTACAGCAAAAGCAAATGATGTATATTCCCTTTAAGTCGCTTACACTTTAGGGCAGGATGCCGTCACTAGTTGAGAAATGTGAAAAGGGAAACGACTCAATGACAGAATATTGCAATTGTTAAAAGCATTTCAGAAGATTTTCCAACATTGTGCCTTAAAGGGAATGTACATTATTGGCTTTTGCTGTAATTTTCAGAAATGAACTACATGTATTTGGGGGGGTTAATAGATCAAATATTGTTACACTGACTTGTTTGAAGTTTTGTGTTTGAAAATGCTGGAAAACCAAGAAAAACAAAAAATTCAAGTAGTCTGGTTCCCTAAACGGATTAAACGGATCAAAAATGCCGGAAAATTGTAAAGGTAAATGTAAGGGAACCAGTCTACAGTACATGTAGCTGGCCTGCACCCGCTCATCAACATGGAACCAATAGCAAACAAAATTTGGACTGAAAAAAAAACCGGTAAATTTGGATCAGTAGTTGAAAAACAGTTAGGTTTTTTCCAACAGTGGTCGGCCGACCACCGTTGGAAATGTATACAAAAGTACCATTTTTCTTGAAAATGACCTCACACCAGGTGCCCTAATTTTACAGGATGCTTTAGACTGTCATTTACCAACATCCTAGTAAGGTATTTCATAACAACTTGGTAGTTTTATTTTTCGATGTTTGCAAATGTTGTATTTTCCCTTTAACTTTAAAGTTTTTGTTTTTATCTGCATATTTCCAAACTTTTTTGGTGGTTTTGTTGTCACTAATGCACTAAATTTAATGGTTCCCCGAGAAACATGTGGGTACAACGATTCTTGTTTCGTAGTTGTGGGGACTAGTACACACATGTTGTCCCATTATGGGGACTGAAGACACTATGGGGACAGCAGAAAGTCCCCATAACTTGGTCCTAATTTGCCTGACAAAAACTTCCCCTGACAAAAAAACTTCCCCATAATGCTGTGACGGCCCGCCTATGTTTACATACAGGGGTATGCTCTGTTTTACACCCAAAAATTGACTCTGTTTTTGTACACAATTCTTGAAATCTTGCATTCTTGCATTCTGTACATTCACTTCAGCAATTTTCCATTCTAAGGCCAAATCGTAGCAAGTTTATAGTAAAGCTTTGTACTTTTTATTTTGGACTATAATTTCTGTCTACATAACAACATGTACATTCGTTTACTATTAGTGAGTACAAAAAAGACAAACACCTACATGTACATACACGGATACATTCTACTTAGAACCCACAATTCAGGGATGACCACGTACCGGAAAATACCGTAAAGTGGGAACCGCATTGTCAGTTGCTTCCCACAACTGGATCAATGTCTTTGGCATTGAACCACATGTTTTTAAGTTCATGTGCACATTTTGCACAATTAGTAGGCCTATTCTCTTAGCGGATGTACCTGTGTTCTGTATTCTGGAATTCAATTTCCCGTGGCTGTATATTCAGAACTTCCTCTAGTTGTTGTGAAGCGAATAATAGCAGTCTTCCTGTTTGCTGCTTTCAGAGAGCGGTTATTTGTGTTGAAAGGTTGGGATGTGAAAACTGAACTAGATTTAGAGCTTAAGGTTTCTGTTTGTCTGTCCGTGGGATGACCTCATCTTATGGGAGAGCGATGGTTGTGGTACTAGAATTAGTTTATTTTCCTAGCCAACAACAGGGGAGAGTATACTGTATGACTTCATTGATTCTAGATCATTCAAAATACATGTAATAAAAAAACATTAACCCTCACCCTGCTAAATGCAACAAAAAGCAACACAAAAAGTTGTTGAATATTTAGCAGCCAACTCAAGTCCCTGTGCTTTGTTGCATTTAGCAGGGTAACTGCTCATTATTCCTACAGTGATGCAACAGAATCCACTGTTGCATTTGGTTGCATTTAGCAGGGTAATTGCTTGGTACCAAGGCTGGTATGCACTGGGTTCACTGCACAGTGCAACAGAATCCACTGTTGCAGTTGGTTGCATTTAGCAGGGTCACTGCTTGGTGCCAAGGCTGGTATGCACTCGGTTCACTGCACAATGCAACAGAATCCACTGTTGCAATTTGTTGCATTTAGCAGGGTAATTGCTTGGTACCAAGGCTTGTATGCACTGGGTTCACTGCACAATGCAATAGAATCCACTGTTAAACATACATGTACCATCAAGTGCTGCACATACTGGTCTGGCAGCGTGTGTGCCTTTGAGTCCACAGTAGAGCAAAGTTGAGTTTTGGTCAGCAAGCTACGGTAGGAAGACTGGACTTTGTGATTGTCCAGTATCCCTGACCACAGCCAAACCCCGGAACAGGAAGTGTGTGTGTGTGTGTCATTGCTTACTGGTCAGTCTAGGCATCCCCCCCACATGGTTGACCATCAGTCTGACCGATAACCTGTCTGAACTACATACTGTAACCTGATGGTTTTACTGAGTAGAAGACAATGCAGGGCTCGATACATTTACAAAAAAAAAGTGGCATGCACTGGTGCATGTAGACCAAAAAACCTACATGCACCAAGAAAAACCCACATGCACCATAATTGACTTACACCCGTCTGCTTCTCTGAAGGCATTCTTTCTCTTTGATTTATGGAACTTTCGACAGACAGTACAGTACATAGCCTTTTTTGCTCTATCACTGTCATTGCCAAGCCTAGACCCGTGAACGTGGCGTTGTATACAACGCCACGCTGTTGTGGCATTTCGAACGTGGCGAAATCGATCCGCCATACATAATTTTAGTATGTTCAGTACTCGCCTAGAAATCTAAATTTGCCTTCCCGCGTGTTCAGGATGTGTCATTTCGACGAAATGTGCCGTCGATGAAGACCCATACGAACGTGTAGAAATTAGATTTTAACCTGACAAGTGACCCTGACAAATGACCCTGGACGAGTACCCAGCCCCAGGGTCATTTGCGTGCAAAATTATCGGAGCCCTCCGAGCTACCCGTCGGCTTCATGTGGCACATATGATAGGCGGCGTCTGATTGGTCAATAACGAGACCACGTGATAAACGCAGCTAATAATTTGGAATCACACTTATGATCCGGACATAAGGAATGCCCGGAGCATCAGTGTGATACCAAATTATCCGCAGCATGTATCACGTGATAAATCACATGCATGATCGGAGGGGGTTGTAGGACGTCGATATCGTGCGAAATTTTACCTCGTACTCTGAATCTGCTGCCACTGTGCGAGCATGGTGCGAGGAATAATTTATGGATTTATAAAATAAATAACACGTTTGTACACTATCTGGTCAAGTATTCAACAAACTTTATTCTTATTCTCACTCACTGGTAAATTATATGCATGAAATGAGTATTTTGGTGGCTAAAAAAGTTACATGCACGTCGTGCATGCTCAGTAAAATAGCTACGTGCACATGCAAAAATCTACATGCACTGGTGCATGCGTGCACCCGGGTAAATCGAGCCCTGAGACAATGTCTGTCAAAATCCATCACTCACTCTGATTCACATTTGCTTCAGGACCAAATCCATTGAAATCCACCACTGGTGCTGGTGGATTTTGGTGGACTTTTTCAAGTTCATCAACCTCTAAGCTCATCATGCCCCCCCCCCCCCTCAAAAAATAAAAACCAATATAGTCCTTGAATATTACATTTACCCAGAGACTTTAAAAAGTTTTTTTCCCGTTGAGAAAGATCCTGCCAGGAACTTTTCGAAAAATAATTTAATTTTTTTTTTATTTGGGTTTTGTTTTAAAGCTGCATGATCAGGTAAGACTTAGCAACACATGAAACGTGACTCATTCATCAAATGTTCTGAATCCAATACCAGATGATATTGAAATCTAAAACTGCATCAGATCATTAAAAACATTCCATCAAAAACATTTTGCCCCCCTTTAGAAAAAATCCTGGCGTGCCCATGTCCACAATAATTCTTGTAAACAATGCTATCCATTTCTTGGCCCTTCATGTACAAGTATGGTCATAGTACATAGTACTTGCAAGGATCTTGTTCATGACGATGAAGAAAATTGAGACTTCCTTGAACTTAAGTCTCTACACAATCGCCGGGTGCTGGTCTTATCGTTACGTTCCCTGTGCTCAATTTTTTTCTATTAAATTTTCAACTTGTATGTTTTATTGCAAGCAAAAAACCTTTTTTTCCCCACTCTTTCGGGTGTCTCTTTTTGGTCGATGTCTCATTCAAAAGTGACTAACTTTTGTATTTTTCAAAAAATAGCGATTTAGAAAAGCAGTCTAAATGTGGGGATGAAACTCGAAAATAGCACTGGGAATGCGTCTTATAGTCTCAACCAAAATTCACTCTGTACTGTCATAATGTGAAGGGTTTGGTTGAGTTAGTGATACAACTTAGTTGAATAACGTTGTCTACAAAATCAACAAATCTCAATAGTTTGAGTTGAGTTCCGTTCCCGAGTCACCACTTGGAAGCATGTGCAGTGTGCATCCCTGTTTGTACAGGTCACCACATAACAACAATTTCCTTCCTTCCTTACTTCGCTGTCGTTTCCTCCCAGGATTGTCTCCACGGCATTTCCTAAGAAAAGACTTGTTTGTGAAACTCCAACTGATTATTGTTCTTCTCATCTTTTTTTTTTTTTCCCCTTGTATTTTTTATTATTCACAGTTGTACAGGACATTTAGTCATCAATAATAAAAAGTAAAATTACTGAAGTCACAGACCTTGTTAACTCAATCAGTGACGAAACCATATGTACCGGTAGTTTGTTTTTGAAACGGTAACACATGAACGTCTCGTAATAAGTGAGATGTGAAAGTGATTAAGGGGTAATTATTTTAACATGCAACAAACAAGTTTTTTGGGTTTTTTTTTACATGTACTGGTACATGTACATGTGTGCCATCGTAGAACCGCCATTTTATTGATCTTGTTTATTGGTGATCAGAGTGGACTAGACACAGGACAGGAAGCGTTCTACTTAGACTTGAACACCGATTGGTCAAGACTGCTGTGACATCACAGGAAGGGGGTTCATTAGTCACACGCTGGCACAACATAGTAACCACAGCCTTTTGTTTTGCACGTAATTGGCATATAAAGGGTGGGCTTTTATTCTGGGAATGAAGATGCATGTTGACAGCGTTTGTGTGATTCATGGTATGGATGTGCGGTGTCTAAAAGTTGGAAGGCGAGACGCGACCGTGACTTCCTGACTTTGCGGACATTTATAAAGGATTTCTGGCCGCACTTTAGGTTGTTGTCTGCCAATCTCTAAGGCAGGACATTGCTAGGAGCTGCAAGGCTCTCGCCAAGTGGTCAAAAGTTCATGTTGTATAATCTGAAGGACCCTGCACAAAACTCCAGAAACATTGGATAACTGGTTGGATATTTTGGGCTCAATTGAAATGCAGATTAGATGAACCAACCCCGGTGAACAGTCTCCAAGTAAAACAGCTGATCTTCAAATACTCTTGTGGTATTTCTTGGCAAGCTAGAGTGCACTCTTGCTGCAGCACAGTGTGTGCAGGGTGAGCCGTCAGTACATGTACAGTGCATACCTACAAAAATACACTTGTGATTCAGTGATGAGCTATCGCATTGTAACCTGGTGCATGTGTTGGAATGTTGTACGCATGAGTGTTCATAACACAGCCAAGGTCTGTTAACCTTTCATAGAAGAGGGCTTACTGCTCTCAGCATTCTCCACTTCTGAGCTGTTTTGTTCGTGAGGTCGTAAATTGGCTCCTACAAAAAGTCCTGCCAATTGAGGCAAGTCAGTCGTGCAGAACAGAGGAGTAGAGTTGTTTGGAGAATAAACAGCGTTCACTTTTCCCATGATTTTGCACCAGAGTCTGTGTAGTGCCTTGTAAATCAACAAAGATAAACCACAGATCTGCCTGTGCATGCTGTATAACGTGTGTGTCCATCTACAGGTGCAAATACTTTACAGAACGGCAACAGGATACATGGAATAAGCAAAGTTTCTGAAAATTGCCAAGGAAATTGAGTTACCACCCTCTAGTGAATCAACAGCCAGCCTAGTAGGCTCCTCAGGAAAATCAACAGCTGTGTCAAGCATCGGGGAGAGTCATACATTTGTAACATTATCTGACTTTGAATGGTGTGACTGCAGATTATAGTAATGTACATTCAGGACAAACGACAGTCCTCAACGATGGAGGATCCCCAAGAGACGACCAAGTACGATTATGAATACATGAAATTTGCTGGCGGCGGCGTTGATGAGGGCAAAGGTGAAGAAGCCCTCTTTCAGGATGAGCCCGATTATGTTCCCATGGAGGGTGCTGATGATGCGGTAAGGGCCAGAAGTGATTGGGAGGTGGGGGTGGGACAGGGCGGGGGGAATTCAGAGATGCTTCAAAAATGTGCATATATGACATATAACTTTGTGTTTCAGTATTGTTTAGTTTTCAACATGTACGGAACATGTACATGTGCATGTATAAACTAAGAGACCTGTGTCACATGCATGTTTCATTATTGTTGCAGCATAAGAACATTTACATACATGTACATGCACATGTAATGTACATACTGTATGTACATGTACACATACACATGGTACATGTACACTGCATGTGCATGTATTTGATGTACATGGTATACATGTACATGTATGTGTATATGCATTCCTTTTACCATGAACATGTACAATGTACACATTGATGTACATGTAGGTTTTTAGACCCAGGCAGTAGAAGACAGAAAACTTTGAAGAATTTAGAGAGGGGGGGGGGGAGGGTTTGGGAAATACAAATTTGTGGCGCTATGAAATGTGCATAAACAGGATCCAGCCAAATCCAGTGAACATAACAAAAGCCTTGAGGATTAGATGCAAAGAATCCCTATTCTAATGTGTCACATTTCTCCTATCTTACAGCATGTGCTAGCCAGAGCGTTGTACGACAACAACGCTGAAGCTCCGGACGAGCTCTCCTTTCGCAAAGGCGACATCGTGTCCGTGCTGGAGCAGAATACCAGCGGACTGGAAGGATGGTGGCTGTGCTCCCTCAACGGTCGCCAAGGCATCGCCCCCGGCAACCGGCTGAAAATATTGGCGGGAATGTACGAGAGTCCACACAGCCCGCCCCCTTCCCAGACTGCCCAAAAGGTGGGTGGAATTTGTGTATAGTTCTTATTTTAAAAACTGAAAGCTTTATTTTCCTTTTTTGACCCCCAAAAAATCGCATTAATTTGAACAATTAGATCTTGACATTTGGTCTGGTGACCATGGTAGTTTGATCAGCCACTGTGGGAAAAGTTCCCTATCCAAACGTGAGCAGGTAAAAAGAAGAATAGTCTGTGACGAGCCAATGTGGCCCATCAGGCCGGCGTTTATTTCCGGTTTCAGTAGCATGAAACGACTGAGAATATGTATGGGATGCTAGTCCATCGCAGGTTACTCCCCAGCTAATACCGGTACCCATTTGTACTCCTGGGTGGAGAGAGGCAAGTGGGGTGAAGTGGCTTGCCCAAGGACTTAACATATGACCAGCAGCTGGATTCGAACCCCTTACCCTCTGGTCATGAGTTACGAACCGTAACCACTAGCCCACACTCCCCACTAAACGTGAGGGGGATTGACGGCCGAATGCAGAGCGGTCCATTCACAAAACGTGTTAAACAAACAAAATTGGAAGACCACAAACTTTGCAACCCAAACCTAACTGATTTTGCAAAAAAATCTCTTTCATGCAGTCAGTTCACACATTATTTTTGCACTTCTACATCTACATTGTACTTTGCCCTTCCAAGTCATATAATTTACCCACGAAAAAGTCAAATTACATGCATATAAGTTACTCATAATATTCGAAAACATGAAACCATTCTTCAATTTTACCAATATTTTGAATATACATGTACATGTACAGTTTTTGAACATGTATGTTCCTCTGTATATGATTGGCATGTACATGAAGGTTTTACTAAAGCAGATTTCTTCCATACTTTGCTTTACAAAAATCAACCCCCGTACTATGCCCACTTTAAACAACAAAGAGAAGGAAATGATATTGGATATTGCAGCATCCTGGGAGCAAGGTTAAATTACTCCTGTCGCAATTCTCTGACACGCACACACAAAAGTCCATTACATTGTAACCGCATTGGCAGGACTCCAACATTTTCCGTACATGTAGGTTCCTACATTTGTGGAAGTGTACATGTACCGGTACTTAATCATTTTATTCATTAAGAGAAATCTTTTGTAATAAAGTTGCATATTCAGGAGAACAGTTGTAATTCTAGACATCTTTTTAACGCTGTAAATATGCTTTTGAAACCACAAGCCAATAATATTGTTACATTTAACTGTAACAATCCTCTTTATTTGGCTAATGCCATGGGCCGGTTCTTCGTTGATGTTAACTGACATTCACGCAAAGCTTGATTCTGAACTTACAAATATGGCTGATAACAATGCGAGCTCTTCTTGATAAAGACTCAAAAAATTCTTGTTTTTTGGACCCTATGCCTACTCAGTTGGTTGTCAATTGTTTGGATGTTCTTGTGCCTGTTATTTATCATAAATCTGTCTTTAGAAACAGGCATATTCGCAACTGATTGGAAGGAAGCCCTTGTTTAATTGTTTGGACGCAGAAGGCAGTATCTGTGTGTGCTGTCACAAAATAAAAATTCGGCCAACAAAACTTAAAGTGTGACGCTACCCATTCTCTGACCCTTTCCAATGATGAGGATAAACATGATTATTTCTTATAGCAAAGTACATGTACATGTACAGCTGCAATTTCCTGTGATTGGAAAATAGTCAGTACTCCTCTGTGTCACAGGTGATACTAAGAAGAGAAGGGTCAAGGTGCCAACCCTGACCTTTACATTCCTGTGGAATCAGCCGGCACCATATCACTCATCCAAGGCTGAAGATCAAGTCCGGAGGGACTCAGATTTCATGCTTATGACTGTTTGTCAAAGTATGGATTTTTCTAGTCAGAAATTCTTCCTTTGGAAATTGAGACCCTTTTAAGAGGATGAAATTCTCTGTAACTACAGAGGGAAAACTTCAGTAATCAAGAGAAACATCTCCTGTATTATGTTAGTTTTGAAAAAAAAATGTATTTCGTACACTGTAATGAACATTTACATGTCTATACACTGTGTATACTTGACCTAGTGAAACAAGAACTAACATTACAAAAATACAGAAAGCTATCCTTTAGGCTTTAACGAATGTTCGCCTTTACAAATTCTAAAATAATCTAACGCAAATCTCCTGAATTGATTTCTCAGCTGGCCGAAATTCTGTTACATGTATGAGCTGATAGAACAGAGATAAAAGAAATATACTGTACATACACATACATATACATACGTACTTTGCTGACTTCGTTCTGAAAATTTGAAAATATCATCTGGTACTTACAGATTGATTTCAACTCATCTTGGTGACCTTTTGTCTCAACAACTGTATATTTTCCTTTCCTGTTACAGATAAAGACCCCTATGCGAGTTGGTCAGTCGTACATCTATGATAGTCCAAGCGGCCTTCGAGCCCTAGGAGCCAACCAACAGGAAGACTACGATGTGCCACCAATCAGAGGCCAGGGCAAAGGGTACAATACCCAGAACCTCGGTTACCAGACGGTGCCAGGTGCCAGCCGCAATGTCCTCACTCACCAGCTCTCGGCTGAGGACACCTATGACGTCCCGCCCAATCTCCAAGGTGGTAAGTCACCGTCGCCATCGAAGATGCCCGAAGCTGCTCCCTTCAGGAATCGGAAACAGTCCATTGACGAGCTGTATGACTCACCCAAGAAGCAGCAGCAGCAGCAGCAGCAGCAGCAGCAGGAGGTCTATGACACATTGCCCGCCTCCAAAGATCCCAACTTACCGACGGAGATTTACGATTCGCCCCCGTTGAAAGGGAAAGTTTTGGACAGTCCACCCAAGTCACCAACTGAGGTGTACGATGTGCCACCAGCTCTGCAGGCAAAGCAGAGTGGAGCCGATAGGTTCCCCACATCACCAGAGAGGTCCGTTTCTTCAAATGGTCACCCTGCCCAGAATGCAAACTCCCTTGACGTGTACGACACCCTACCGGGGCAAAAGTATCCCACAGACGTGTATGACGTGCCACCAGCACATGACTTATCTGCCAAGAGACCGTCATTTCAGAATGACGCTAAGGAACTCTGCGATAGCCCATCCAACACACCCTCCCAGGGGCTGTATGACAGCCCCCCTAAGACCAAAATCACTGTTCAGCACAGTGCAGACCACGTGTATGATATACCACCACAGGTAACAAGGGACCAACCTCGATCAGGCCGCGCGAGTCCAGTACACCGTGGATCTGTGGATCAAATCGACGGGAAGATGAATCTTCTGTCCATGACACGGCTAACTCGATCAGTTGAAAATCTAGACGAGTCAGGTGTGAGGAGCAATGAGCTTGACGTGACATCTGCAATGGAGTTGCTAAATGAAAAGCAGCAGGTATTGGAGACGGCCATTGCGTATCTCATGAGCTACGTCAGCAGCACATGGCGCCACCAGTCTAATCTGGAGCCCCGGATTCACGAGATCAAGTCCGCTTGCAAGCAGCTCAAAGTTGCCTTGGAAGAGTTTCTGGAATTCTCCGACCAGTGCGTTGCGGGCGCAGCTAAACACAGCGAAGAGCTGTGGACGGGGAAGCTCTGTAAATCAGCTCAGGCCATGAGAGAGTCGCATGCATCTATGGTGAAATCACATGCCGCCTTGGATGAAATGAACTGGCAGGTTTCCAAGCTGGTGTATAAGCCCGGTTCCAGCACAGCCAACGAGCTGGATCAAATTGCCCTGTCAGCCAGGAGTGTTACTGACGACATGAAGCGGTTTGTGTCCCTCGTCCAGGAGAATGAAGCAAGCCTCTTCCGGCCATCCTTTGCCCGGAACCTTAGCAATCCTCAGGAGCGTCCCTTGCCGACACCTCCAGCGACATCTTCCAGCAACACAAACTGGCTGTCTCCGGAGAAGGAGAGCCCTGCAAAAGGGGCCATCCAGTCCAGACCATTACCCCAGTTACCTCCGGGTGGCGCCCCTGCCTCCGCCCAGCCTGATGACCCCAGCCAACCTCCTAACAAGGACGCAATCGCCGATTACGGCTACCTCACCAAGAAGGATCCGCTCATTAACAAACAGATCATTGTGACGGACCCCGGTGCCAAGCAGCCCTCGGTCCTCCTGCCCAACGACAAACAGATCCTGGCGTTTTACGTCAACGACGTGGAGTCTCTAGTCAACACCCTGAGCAGTGCCATTGATCTGTTCTTCACCTGCATTGAGGCCAACCAGCCCCCGAAGGTCTTCGTGGCCCACAGCAAACACATCATCTTGATTGGCCACAAGTTGGTTTTCATCGGAGACACGCTGCACCACAACTTGCAGCACCCGGAGGTGCGCAATCGCATCATACGCTGCAGCGACACCCTCTGCGAGTGTCTGAACGGTGCCGTGAACACCACCAAGGTGGCTGCCTTGCAGTATCCTGCCGTCGGCCCGCTGCAAGAAATGGTCGATAGGATCACAGATGCTGCCAATTCCACGCAAGACTTAAAAGCAGCCATTTTACAGTGTGCTGCTTTGTAATACTGACTAAGAATTTATGTGAATACAAGATTCGGAGTGGACATTCATTTCTGATGTTGGATTAATGTAAAAACAACTGACATGGATCAGTTTTTACGATTGTACAAATAAACTTCATTGTTTCTCTGACAAACAGAGATTGCATTTTGGTTTTCAAATATTTTTATTTGTACAGACACTTTCAATTATAAGTTGAAATGATTTTTTTGTATAAAGGAAAGAGATAGCAAATCAAATGTGTACAAACATGACAAAGAGATAAAAAGCTGAAAATGCACAAACGAGAAAGGAAAAATAAACCTGAAAATGCACAGATTGTAAAATGTATGCGAAGTCCGGGCCTCTTTATGCAGCTGCTAATCACAGTAAACATTTGCTGAGCAGAAACAGATTAGCAGACTAACTGATATACACATTGTATTGCTACATGTACTTTGCTTACATTGTTCCATAACAAATTTTAAGCACTGTTTTCTGCTTAGGGCCCCAAAAAATAGTTCTGCTTCCGATTACATCGCATTTGAAAATAGAGTAGGTAGGTAGGGAATTTTTTTGGGGGTGGGGGGCAATTTTTTTTTGTACGATCATATGGAAGTGTCTGCGTGTAGTCAAGGGTAAAATGTACAAATGTAGTAATTGAAGATTTTCGATGTTTTTTCCCCTCATTTCGCCCCCAAAAAAATTAGGGTAGGGGCTGTCAAAATAGGGTAGGTAGGGTATAACCGGAAGCAGAACTATTTTTATATTTTTTGGCTTTAAGAGCTTTAAGAAGACGGCCCTGGTTACATATCATTGATATGAAATGGTTTCCTTCCTGTCCTGAAACTCAGAGATGTGTGTACTTAATACATTGAATTTTGTTTTTGTACATTTATATGTATTTCCAGCCTCTATCATTACTTCAGTAGTTGATCTATTGTATTTCAAGGAGGCAGAGGTTTGAAATCTGTCATTAGAGGGCGCCACAGAAAAAAACTGCCTTGATTTTTTTTTTTTCCCAAATTGGCAATTTTAATTATGTCTGTTTGCTAGCCTTCATATCTAAGGCTTTCGATCATTAAAGATTTTTTTTTAAATGGCCTAAAAAAGCACCAATGAAATTCCATTCATCGTATAAAAATGTTTGAAGTTGTAATAAAGATATTTTTTAAGTTGTATAATTGTATAATATTTACATTTTGTAAAATAAGTTGATTTTTTTTATTTGCAATAATCAGACATTCTTTTTGTAATTTTTTTACTGGGGAAATTTTTTTTTCCGGAAGAGCTGCATTTCTTATTTGTTTTCCTTTCAATCGCCATGGATATTATCAAATAAAGACTAGGGCAAGGGAAGAAGTTGAAATGTACGGTAAGAGAACATTTTGCCATAATACATTGTAACCTCGTACATTTGTGGATAATCAACTTTGTGTTGCATCAGAAGCATCAGCACTTTCGTTTCCCGGAGGTTGATTTTGTTCAATTGTTTTGCTCTTGCCATTTAGAAGTGTAAAAAGCAAAATAAGAAAATTGCATCCGAGACTCTTTGCTAGAAAATAGGTAGTCTTTGCACATTCCTTCAAACATGATGTCCACATTAGGCAAGCGTAGGCTTTGATCCTATCGAAACGGCAGAGTTTTTCTTTTGATCTGATGGATGTTAATGTTGAAATTAACGATGACATCTCTAAAAAAAGAAATGCGTGTTCAAAATGATGTATGTAATATATTAACCCTAACTCCCTTGCATGATTTACTAGGAACCATACCCATCCTGGCAAATTCCAACACCATATGGGGAAACTGCACACACATAATTATTTCTGACTTTGATTCTGGAGTAGTGCCAACCCAGAGTTTAGGGCGACTGTACCCATCCTGACAGATTCCAACAAAACATACCGTTGGGGTTTGATGGGTTGAGTTCTGTTAGGGTTAATCACTGCATTGAACACTGGGGAAAAGGCTCTGCTCGGAGAGAATTTGTTTCAGGACAGAAAAAATGCAATGAATTTTTCCTTAGGATTGCTGTGCGATTTTGCTAGCATTGCCAGCATTAAGTTATATTTTTTTTTCGCAAAACATCCCAAAGAGGTAAATTGAAATATTTAAAAGCGAGAGGACATTCAAAATACCAGCCAATAAAAGCATTAGTTTTGTTTACCTTGGTAAATTCATTAGTCTTTGTCTATGTTAGAGGTTCAGGTTGGGTGTTGGTTTCCATTTCAAAAATACAGGACTTTCAACATAATGAGGTTATTTCAAACAGTAACATCAGATCTTATTTGATTTTTTTTTCTATCATTGGAAACTCATTGGAAACAATGTGTAATTGTTGTGACCTCTTGGTTTGAACTGTTTAACATACTGTGTTGTCTAAATCATTGATTTGAATGTCTTTACTGTCCTCTCATTAAAAAGAAAACCAGTCTAATTGGACGAAAGTAAAATTAAAACAGGGTATACTATTTATTTAGCTTAAAATTTGCTGATACTCTTCAAATTGGTCATGATGAAATTTACATTCTTCACATCTACAACCATTTCAAATTGACGGCAAGGTTGTAAACTCAAAGATATCTTTACAAAATTTATACAGTTGTTATTTTACAAACTTGCCAGATAAACATGACTTCCGTAAGGATTTTATTTAAGACTGAAGTTTTCCAATCAAAGATTTTACGTTTCCATGTTATCCTTGACCAGTACCACTCTCCATCAAGCGTCACATTTACAATCATTTATAGGTTCCGGATTGCAAATATTGTGTACAAATTTAATATCATGTATGCAGAGATTGTGTCAATTTCAGTAATAAAAACCAATGGTTATTAAAAAGCAAGGAACTCCATGTGTGTGAACATTTTAAAACTGATTTTTAAATACATGTACAAAACAGGAAAAAAAAGCATGTCTTGTTTTGGTGCTGTGCATGGCTCTATGGATTCTGCTGGTTATAAACACAATGTAATACAATGGAATACAAAGTGATACAATGTGATACAATGTAATACAATATGATACAATTGCACTACAATGTGATACAATTGTATTAGAATGTAATGCAATGTGAAACAATGTAACACACTGTGATACAATGTAATACAATGTGATACAATGTAATACAATGAAACACAATGTAGTATAATGTGATACAATGTGGTACAGATGCTAATTATTGTTAAATAAGTGCACACAAGGTGTGTATTACCATAGTTACCAGCTACAGACACATCATTCTCAGGCAATGGCTATTCTTGCATGCTCGACAACGGACTAAGTTTTAAAAAAAACTATTTTGCTTGCAAACCCTTTGTCTATAAAAAAAAAAAAAATTATAAAACAAAATTAGTCAACCCCACAAGTAAACGTGAGGTTGCAAGGACACGAAACCCAAGTAGCACAGTTTGGTCAGAGTAGTGACTACAGTGAAATCTTGATAAGTCAAACTCTGAGAACTCAAAACAACTGTGTAGTCAAACAAAGAATCCATCCCCCTCAGTAATATAACAATGATATACAACCCTTCTCAACTCAAAACTCTGCGTAAGTCATTTTTGAACCTGTTCCCTTGAGGTTTGACTTATCAAGATTTCACTGTAAATCATGCAGAAAAAAAATCCATGCAGACCATGAACACTTTTAAGTTACTTGCATAACCTAACCAAGAGAGGGCGCTGTTCACCTTCACAATACAAAAATGTAAATGTTCATGTACCCTCATGTAGAACCACAATAAAAGTAGAGGTCACTGTCTGGACTATTCACATAATGTATTGGGTAATGTGGTTAGCATGCATGCATGTCCAGTTAGTCCATTTGAGCATCACTAACCCAACATAGGCCCTTTGCACTGCAGCCATTTTGGAGGGGCTGCGTAGCGCACTGCAAGTGAACTACCCATAATGCTTCACAAAGTCTCCATTTTCTTCACAAGTTCAGTCAACAATGCCTTCGGATAGGGCAAGAGTCTGAGTGACCGATGGTCCTTCTTTGCTACGTCCTCTGGCTAGTCACATGCTGTCTTCCTTTCCTCTCTGAGCTCGCCGATGATGATGATGATGATGCCAAGCTCTTGGCTTCCTTGTCTTTTGACGTTTCCTCATCGTTGACCGACAAGAGCTCCCTCATCAGTTTGAAACGAGAGAGGAAGGCCACCCACACAATGTACCAACCTGGAACAATGGTATTTGGAATAGAGGTAGCTATACATTTGTTTTGCAATACGATGTACAGTATAATAACAGCAGTCATGTTATTTCTCACAAATGTACCTTCGCATTTGAAACGAGCCACCAACTCAAATACAGGGAACAATTGAGTGCATGGTTAAGCATGGAAGACAGTGGATATTTGACCGTGAACCGGTCCCCGATTGTTTTTAGTATTGTACCGGCACGGCACTGAATATACGCCCTTTTGGGGGCATTTTTATCGTGACAAATGTTTGGTTCTGTGCTTAATAGCCGTTTTGACTTCATGTTCACGAGATGGGAATCACATCCAATTCTAATGCAATTTCGGACTCTATTTCCCTTTCAAAACAAATCATCCAGTACGACGAATCAGAAAAAGAATATGACATCAACTGGAATTACGTTAAATGTAGGATTCGATTTAAAATTTACAAAAAAAGAAGACAATTCTTACTTTTTGGGTCACAAAAAGTTCAACAACAACGACAAAGCTGGGAGTGGGACTCGATTCAAGTGGTGTGCTTATAATACGGTAGCCCCATTAATGTGGCCTATTTACTGGACTGCCTCCGTAAACATAGGCCACACGTCCACATGTACAAAAACGTGTCGACTTTGCCAAATTTTGATTTTTGCATTTAGGCTTAGTTTGTAGTTTATTTTTGCTTTAGAAGCATACTCACCCTCTTTATAGGCTAATCAGAAAGTGCTGCCTTTTTCAGATGTATATATTTTTCGTGAAATTTCCAGATTCATTTTTACACGTTTGCGTATCAAAATTTCAACATGAAATTTCACAAAAATTAGACATCTGAAAAAGGCAGCACTTTCTGACTAGCCTATAAAGAGGGTGCTTCTAAAGAGGTATGCTTCTAAAGTAAAAAAATCCTACAAACTAAGCCTAAATGTGAAAATCAAAATTTGGCAAAGTCGACACGTTTTTGTACATGTGGACATGTGGCCTATGTTTACGGAGGCAGTCCAGTAAATAGGCCACATTTATGGGGCTAATAATACGGGTGAGCTTTACACTAGACAACGCGTGCGCTCAACGTGAGTTGGCACTTATATGGTGTAGGCATAGAGCTATATTACATTACTAGAGCACTAATTCCATGCACAAAGTAATGCCTGATGGGTGCATCTATATTTGTACACAAACCTATGGAAAACTCAAAATTTTGTACGGCTTTTGTACGGCTATTTGCATATGTGTTTGTATTCTATACAGGTGTGTCATCGAAGCCGATACGCCCAAAACCGAAATGCACGATCAGCAAATGAGTGTTTCATTTTGCTCTACGCAAACAGCACAACGTCATTAACAGTCATGACGCGCTTAAGTTGTTTGCACATCTTCTACTCGCGTGTTGTATTTAGAGTACACTTTTAAAATTCAATCCATCTATTTTGATTGTGTTCTACAAACACGCACATAAATTCAAAATGTCTGCGCCCAGAGCGGCTTCAAAGTGTCTCTGTGTGCAAGAATGAGGAGTTAGCGCTCTAGTACTTTAATATTGTTGATGTACCCTAACGTGGCGCGGCCCCTAACGTGGCGCACTTTGATTTTTCGCCTGTAGCGCCTAGCTAGAGCAAAAGTTTTAACTGAAATTTCACAGAAAGTGAAATTTCATCAAGTTCTAAACACTCCCGTTCATAAATCGCGAGTTTATTTACCCGTTACAAAGTTAAAAGAAAAAAGTATTTTGGCGTGATTTTCCGATTTTATTTTCAAGTACAAAGTGAACCCTTTGAAAATTCCCCGAAAAATAAGAAAATAACTTTCTGACAAACATCTGGCTGGGTTTGTAAGTAAATATAATAATGATTTATCAGAATTTATCAAGTTTACAGAAATTCTTAAATGTTAATTTGGAATTTTCCGAGATTTATTCAAGTGCGCCACGTTAGGGAACACTCCGCCAATTTGTGCCCAATTTCCGGACGCGACCGTTTTTGCATTTCGGATTAAATTTTACGAAACCGAAATTGTTCACAGAGGTTAAATAGCAAGCATTAAAAAGGTAAAAGTACCAGTATTTCACTGCATGAATTTGAGGTTTATCAACAAAGAGGTTTGGCAACACTACACGAGGAAAGTTGGGTAAGCTTCGAAGTGCGCCATGTTAGGGAACATGACTATATATAGCTCTATAGGGCTCGGTGTAGGCCTACTTGTATACACATGCATGAGGGCGCTGTATGATCTGCCGGGTTTATAAAAACATGAAAAAGGACAAACGAAATTGCGGAACCAGTTCAGTTGACGGCTATTTATAATTTAAGCACTTCATTACGCTTCACTTTATTGTTGGTCAAATATGTCGTCATCATGGTGAACTATACCTACCAACAACTATAAAGATGAGCACCACCGCCAGCGAAGTTAGGAAAGACACGATCATTAAGATGATGTCTTGTATCTCGACATTTGCCATTGTTGTTGCTCGGGTCAAGAATACAGCTGTGAGTGTGACACACACAAATCACGGTAGTTTTCTAGCAGCTTTTCACTTTCATTCCGTTTGCCTGGCCGACAAATCGTCCCAGAAAAACAGTGTTCTTGCTTCATGGCACCATCTGATCGGTTACTATTTTTCACATTTACACAAATATGAACAAGTCCAAGCAAAATCAAGGGAGATCGTAAATTTATGGCAAAATTTGCCAGTTGTCAGTTCTCGACGTCAAGACCTTTGTTGCAATGATTTGATCAGCTGTTTAAGTTTTTTTCCCTGATCGATCCTAGCGGCTTTTGACAATTGAGGGCGCTATCATGGTTTAACGGGCCGCAAAATTGTAGCCGATCGAAACCTGTACAAACTAAAACGGCTATACGTTCCCTTGTTGAATATTGAATGTAAATAAGACAAATATTTTGAAAATATCTTATAGTTTCTACCATAAAATCTAACCCCATCCTATTCAGGGGCGGATCCCGGTTTTGGGTGGAGGAGAAGAGATTAGTGCGTGGCTGTCAAACTGGTGTCGAAGGCATAACTTGGCATCCTCCCAAGAACAGTTTACAATCCAGATTTTCAAGTGTCCCGAGTTGCATTCTGATTATTCTGTTGCATCTAAAATACAAAATGAAGTGCATGCGGGTTTTTTGTTATACTGACATCACAAATTGCAAACAAGTCACATCAGTACGCGATTTCAATAAATTGTCCAACCATGGAACCGTGGTCAGAGTGGGGTTTTTAGCGTGTGTTCTTTGCTGTCACTTTTCTTCAAAATGGCACAATGGATATCATGAAACTTTCACCAAATATGTCCAAAATACCGGTCTAATAACATATCTCATGTGCATTTGTTTTGATAATTGATCCTTTTTTTTAAATCATTTTCTTTAATTTGGGTCCAGATCATTGTATAGTCATATTGACGATGTGGGAAAGAGGGGGCGGGGAAGCGGAGTAGAAGGGGGGGGGTTCATTCCGGACAACCTCGAGACAGGTGTATATATATAACGAAGTTAACTTAATGCATATTCCTTTATTTATATTTTCATCTCTTATTTGTCTTTTATTCTATCACTAAATAAAACCAGAGTGATTGTTTCGTCCATTTCGAACGCTATCGCCAATGCAGTCAACAATAATCGCATTAGTTATAGCATTCCAGTCAAAACTCCATGTTTAAATGAACGAACTGATATTTACTTGGATTGCAAACAAGAATAAAAATGAATACATCTCTCTGATGCGCAAGTCACTGCACTCATCTCAAAATGAAATAAGAGGTGAATCACGCGATTACCCGCGCCTTTAGTTTTCCATTAGCCTATTATTTTGAGATATGGCGGACAATTGAGGACGCTGTTTTATTTGGAGTAAACTCTTTTGCATTTACCCAAACAAATAACGCCCTCCAGCTGGGGCCTATTTCACGGAGCTGCTAAGCACAAAAATTTGCTCAGCACAAAAAGTATGGCTTATAAAAGCAGGTTACCAGCCAAAACTCCATGTGATGTATATTGCTCGTGATTAGTATTCAGCTGTTGTTTACTTAGCATGAAAATCACACGGAGTCTTGGCTGGTAACCTGCTTTTATAAGCCAGACTTCTTTTGTGCTAAGCAAATTTGTGTGCTTAGCAGCTCCGTGAAATTGGCCCGGGCCCAGCTGCTACTGTTGTGTCCGCCATTATCTCAAATAGGATATAAGTCTCATGTCCCAAAGGCATCATATTCAACAAAAGACGCATGTCATTCCCCAAAGATGTAAGCAGCACTTATGTCTGCATTTTACAATAATGAACGCACATATCTCTTCCCATAACCAATACTGCTACTCACGCAATAGACCTATAAAATCATGCTGCCACCATTTCAGCAGTAACGTTCCCTGTATTCAATAATAGTACTGAATGATAATGGGTTTTTTTTGCGCAAAAAAGAGCCAGACTATTTGTCCTTGAGGCCTCGCTTTGGTATACGTTGATTTGAATCGGGAAAATCAAGATGGCCGCAACATGATACTGGTCTATAGACCATGCTCCAAATAACTGTTCTTTAATGTGAATTTTCAATGCCTCCTCTCATAATGAAGCTTAATCAATATGGCAATAAACAATCCCAAATTAATTTGTCTTTAATGCGTGAATCTGTAAAGTGCGAATTGAGCAAATAGGTGCAAAATGCAATACACACACAAAATCGTGAATCTCACTCCCTATCCTTATACACAAATAAATGCTAGAAAATTCCAAAACATTATAACTAAACAAAATACGATCCAATTACGAGCGGTGCAGCAACGTCGACTTTGATGGCGTTTGTAAGTTCAACTTGTGTACCATAAAGGCGTTTAAAAAAAAAACCGGAAAAAATTACGTTTTAGACTATATTTCTAGATATCGAAATAAGAGCAATATTTGTCAAGAATTTTGCCGGCCTCATTGCCAGTGATGTCATTCAATTCTCTCCCCGAGGCTTAAACTATTGCTATGACGTCACAGACGCACTAAATAAACTCTAAAAACTCCTGGGTCAGATTGACCCCGATAAGAGTCTATATCTGCACAGTCCTTTTCAGGGTAAAAAAAAATGACAGTTCCCTGGGTCAAATAAGCACAGACAAAAATGTCTTTTGACCAGGGAAAGTGTCATTTGGACCCGGAAAATGATTTTATTGATATAGACTGAGATCGGGATCAATCTGACCCATGAATTTTTACATTATTCCCTGTTCCTCGAGCTCAAAGAAAATAACTAATTAGTTAAGCAAACATAAACAAAGAAATAAGAACAAAAGTGCATTAGGCCAAATAAAAAATATAGTGTCCCCGCCTGCTTCCTTTTTGGAGGCCGCCTCCTTTAAAAAAAAAAATAATAAAAAAAAACACGAAACGTGATAATTTGAAACAGTGACATCATTATTTTTGGCCTCGTTGTCTGTTGCATCTAGTTCATATAAAGCTCGTATGTCATTCCTGAGTCCAACTGAGTACAAGGGCCAGCCATTTAAAAAAAAAGCTGGCGGCCACCTTGAAAAATAGCCCGGTCAGGCGGCCATTTTAGAAGAGAAAAAAAGGGGCCTCCTCCTTCCTTTTTTTTCAAAATGCAGGACGCTAAACATATTTATTTTTTTTACTTGGCCCAGTGGAACAGACTATATAAACATTTAAGTACTTTTAAAAACGAAAACCCAAAGGAAAGTTAATATACAAAATCGTTAGAAACAACTAAAAACAACTTAGTCAAAATATTCACTGGTTTTCCTAGTTATTGAAAATTTAGGCCTACTGGGAATTTAGTTAAACATACAAAGTTTCACAACTATGACTAGAAATTTGAGTTGTTTGCATTACTATTTGTCAATCATGCCTTAAAACATCTAGTCCGATTGACTAATTTTCAGTTGCACCCAGCTGACTCTGAATGACTAATCAATTTTAACTGGTTTCTAGTCAAACCTGACTAATGTGGGTTTTTTTTATAGAGTGCACGTATAGGCATGAATCAAATTATCCTAGAAAATATTCGATATTTACTATACACACGCAAAATAAACTGTGTAGCGAATTGCTTAAAGCGAAGGCAGCTTACTTTTCCAGAACTCCCGTCTTTTTCATGGGTTAACCCGATATAGCAATTGTAGAAAACAAGTCCCCATATGTTTTTGATAAAAATCAAAGGAAACATGTACCTTAGAATTTCTGTTGTATCCATTGAAATATGTTTGCTGTTATTTACACAAATTTACATCTGACTTCGTAGGCGAACACGTAACTCTCCAAACACTGATGTATACTCTAGAAAAACGGCGCTAACTTTTTTTCAACACCGTTGACCGTTCCTTTGTAAACAGAGTTTACATAAATCTGTGTCACAAGGTAGTGTCTCCACTTGTCCCCGCGCCCTTCTATACCAAAAACGATTTCGGACGTCAATTCATTTAACATATATCACTGTAAAAATGGTGCTTAGGATTTAAACACATTTCTAAACACTTATTCTGTACCCACTTTTTCCACACGTTTAGCATCATGACATGTTTAGATGTCCTTTTTCTGTGACACGCATTATCCGTTTGACATGTTTAATGAATAATATGTTTAGCATTTAAACACCTTCCTAAGCGCATTTAGATGTACAATCCTAAGCACATGTCCAAAACGTAAACACGTTTAGTTTCACAACATTAAAAAGTGGAAAACGTTTAGAATTGAAACACATTCCTAAACGTTTTAAACTCTAAACACGTTCTGATGTGTTTAAATGCTAAGCACTGTTTTTACAGTATTCTTTAACTTGTGAAAGAATCCCAGATTCGAAAAACGTTGTCTGTAGGTCACTTGCTTTTAATAATCTTCGTACATTGTGCGTAAGATAAAAGTGTTAACCCGGGGCTCGGGTAAAGCAACATTCGTCGAATAGAACTCAAAATGGTTGACCTAGGGTCATCAGGCAAACAGAATTCATCCAATGAGCGCTCAAAGATATGACACCATTACTTTTTTTCGATAAGGCGGCGAGGACAAGCGACGGTCGTGCCAACAAAATGCCTGTAAAGATGTTTGCTGAGTAATCGAACATCTTAATCGCAAGGGTATCAGACTACCCCGTATTTCAACAATGTGCAAGTATATTCGATTTGTATCTACATTAGATGTTTATCTAGCGTTCGACACAAGTTTGGTCAGCTAAATTTGACTTTTATTTACAGGTTTTTTTTTTTTTGTTTTTTTTGTTTTTTTTTTAAATCTGTGTGAATGACTGAATGACAACGAGAATAAAGATGACTTCGAATCAAAAACAATTATATTAAGGTATCTCGATTAAACAAGTCTGGTTCGATCACTTGGTTTCGTCGATACCATGGCTTTGCGAGTAAGACAGTCCTAAATGATGCGTACTCCTGACCCCTGCCTTGTGAAAGATTCTAACACCTGAGCCCGCACCGGTATAGGTAAGAACCCCCCCCCCTACTCATGAGGGCATCGAGGACATAGTGGCTCCTGAGCATCATCATCACCACCATCTTGATCTCGAAGGAACACGTGACCATGACGACATCTCATCCATCTCCCTACCTCGAATGACATGCTGGCCGAAGCACCCAGACTCGTTCGCAGGACTAAACCGCTTCTGATGCCGAAGGTCTTTCTTCTCTTGCCGAGACACTGACCTCGCACTGCCTCAACTGAGTCACTGATAACCTTAAGGATGACATTGTAACGAGTGCAGCGACGAATTGGCACCTTGCATTTCTGACACAGGATAGAACCAATCTGAAAGCAGCCTCTCTCAAGGGTATTCTTGACTGCTGCAACCGTCTTATCCAGGGATCGCATCTGACACAGGTGCTTACAGTCTGGGAGATAGATGTACATATCCCTGGGATGAAACTGTCCTTTTGGTAAATTGCTTCGAACACTCTTTGTGTCGCAGACATTGCAAAAAGGAGGGCATGGTTCACCGCACACACCAATACAGGGATGTTTGCATGGGAGTTTTTGGTTGCAAGGTCGCACGCATGCTTTCGTCTTCAAGTGTTGATGCGTAAAGTTGTGTTTGCAAGGTGATGGTGCCGTCAAATCTTGACTGGAACCCTGTCTCAAGTCCTCACGGCATCTCCTACAATCTGGGGAGCAACAGCTACTACATGAGTCAGTGCAATTGTGGCCACAGAGGAGCTGCCTGTTGCATGATTTAGGACACGGTTTGTGTTGTGTGCCCTGCTTACAGCTGTCACAATTACCAGTGCACCTATGACCACACCCAAGCGCAGTACTACACGGTTTGTCGCATGATTTATTAGCGGCAGACTCTGCCTTCCAGCAAGGCATGTTTTTAGTGCTGTGACCACATGGTAGAGCTTTCTTGACGATCACTTCACATCTTTCACTGGGAGGTCTCTGTTTCCCTTGCCTCTTGTTGGCCCTGGGCCTGTTCAAGTATCCGAACTGTCCTGGGCAGGGCTCGCTGCATTTGTTGGAACAGCTGTGACCACAAGGCAACTTTTTCTCACACTTTCTGATACATGCAACAGAACTAACATCCTCGTGACACCAAACTTCAACAAGGTGATCGCAACTCGGAAGTTTCTTCTTCACGATTTTCTTGCATTTTGTCCAGATGTTTCTGAATTGTCTTTTGTCACAGCGATCCATTTCAGGTCCTGGGCAGGGTTCACCACACTTGTTGGGACACACATGCCCGCATGCCAACGTGTTACCACATTTTTCCCTGCAGAACATAGAGTAAAGTGCGACAAATCTGGACGAAGAAATCAAGGCATCATCAGATTTCTCTCGTGGACAATGCATACGGCATTCATTTGGACATTGATGTCCACATGCCAAGATCTTTTCGCACGGAAATGAACACATCCAGGATAACCCACAAGGTTCCCAACAGCTCTTAGGGCACTGATGCCCACATTCGAGTTTCTTCTCACATCTTTCCTTGCACTCTACGCTGCTAGGATCCTTAAAGCAGTGCATTACAGCTCGGTGACCACACCTCGGAAGTGTTTTAGCAACTTGAGTGTGGCAATTAAAATCCTCTGCTCGTTCGCCGCAGGCCATTAAGACTTCGTGGCCACACTTTGGTAAGATTTTCTTGACTTTCACTCGACAATACACCTTGCATGATTGACCACATGACTTTGTGCACGGATGGTCACATGACAGCGTCTTTTCGCAGGGTTCCGGACAGATCTGATGGGGACAACTTTGACCACATGTACGGGGACAGCGATGGTCACAATCAGCGAATGTCCGCTGACAGGGCTCTGTGCAGGTGATCACATCAAACTCGTGACAGTGAACCCGAATTGTGTGACCACAATCAAACATCGTTTTCTGGACCCATTTTTGGCACGGCCTGCACTCCTGGTAACAGCGAAGTGGACAGGGATGCTCCCCTCGTTTGCAGAGCTGCGTACATGGTTTATCGCATTCGTAGTCGACATGATCGGGGTCATAGGGATGGCAGAGAGATGTGCATACATGGCCACAAGCTAACCTGTACTCACAGGGTCCACCACATCCCCCACTGGGAACCTTTGCCTTGAAATCACCCGGAGTGGTAACCTCTGTGATTTTGTTGGGATGATTTTGACAGACCAATGGTAGAGAGGCACCGAATCGATCCTCAGCCTCCAGGGTAGCTAAGATGTCCTGCCAAATCTGTGTCTTCTTCAAGATACTCCCGTTGCCAATGCAGTAAAATCCCATCCGAGCCCTCGACAGCGCAACGCAGACACGATTTGAAGTGCGCAGAAACCCGATGGTTCCTTCCTCGTTGCTTCGTACCAGAGACAAAAGTATGATGTCATTCTCTTCTCCTTGGAAATTGTCTACAACACAAACCCGAACCCCTTTAAAAGTTGCTTTATCCATAAGACGCCTGAAGCAGAATAGTTGTCCTGTGTAGGTGGTGAGTATAGTGATCTGAGAGCGTTCGTAGCCTTGATGCAACAGGTACTTGCACAATTCAACAAGGACCTCAGCTTCGTACTGATTCGATTTGGTTCTGTCATCGTCAACCTCATCCTCAAGGTGTCGATGGTCGATGAAGAACATGTTATGTGTCACTCCCTTAACGTTGTCCATTTTCAAAACCGATTGGTCGTCGTAGAGATTCCTGTAGAAGTGTTTCTTCATCAGATTGGAGATTTCAGGCCTCATTCGGTGTTGGTGAGTGAGCGATCGACAAGGCATACCATTGTTGATCATTCTCTCGAACAGAGAGGTGTCCAAGTTGAACTGCTTCGCCAGGCGGTAGACAGTTGGGTTTGGCTTGAGTTGCTGATGATCTCCGATTAGAATGAGATGCTGACATTCTTCAGTCAGGGTAGTGATGATGTGAGCCTCAAGAACTTCAGCAGCCTCTTCCACTACTACGATACTGGGACAAAGACGCTGCAACACGGCCCGACATTTAGCAGCCCCTGTGGTCGTCATGCCAATGACGTTTGCATCTAGGAGAATTGCAAGATCTTCTTGCACGTACAAATCTTGCACCTTCTTTGAAAGTTCCTCGTATTGCTGACGATGCTCTTCCAGTTGTGACTCATGATCTTGTATGTATTTCCGAACCCATAATCTGTACAGACGCCAGCGATCCCATATCATCAGTGACCAGACACGTTCAACGCCGCTAGCCTCTTCGTCAGTCATCACATCGGGTTTCTGGAGCTCCACTAAAGGCAAATTCCTGTGATATTTCCCGCACCGCTTAATGCACTGCGGTGGATATGCAGCATTTTCCCGGAACGTCTCCTCCCTAAGTCTTTGTCGGCGCTGCTCTCGTGTTTGTCGTCCGTGCCTGTCGCCAATCTGCCGTTCCCACTGAATTCTGCGACCCTCGTCTTCCACGTCAATTCGCTCCCCTCCTTCCTGCTTTGGCTGATTGTGACCAGAGAATTCAGTGTTATCTTCATCCTCAAATTCAACAACATTCAGCCAATTCAACAATTTTTCGGCCTGTGCATTCCGTTGGTTCATAAGCTCATGGCGCAGCAGCGAAAGCGCTTTGTATTCACCGTGTGTCATGTAGTTTTTCAGAGCATCGACGTTTAGCAGGACTTTGGTTGGTATATCTAGTTTGACAAGGGATTTCTGAATCTCATCCTCTGCGTCATGCAGGGCTCTTTTCTCGTCGCGATTTATGTTTAATCGTGGTCTTTCTCGTCTCAAGCGGGAGAGGTTCCTCGGTTCAAGTACCTCACTAGAGCTTCTGCTTCCTACACGAACGACGTTGTCCTCTCCAAAGGCTATGATTCCTTCCAGAAACTGATCCAGTGCGTGGTTTGTGTAGCAGACCACCAGGATTGGCGATTCGGAGTGGAGTTTCCACGAGTCATTTTCGAGAAGTAGCTGGATGATCTTCAGGCCGATGTAAGTCTTGCCTGTTCCGGGCGGGCCTTGAATGATGGCAAACTCCTTCGTCAATGCTGTTTGGAGGGCAGCCTTCTGGGATTCGTCGAGATGTAGTTCTTCAGCACTTGGCCAAGTCTCTAACTTTAGAATTGGAACACTGACCGTCGCAAGTGGTATGTCAGGATTTAGCTTGATGTCAGGCGTAACAGATACAACCCAGTTTTCTTCACCTGACCAATTCTCAGGACCGTATTCGTCAAACACAGCGTCAAAGTCGTCCGAATTGTCCGAACTCTCTTGTTGGTATACTTTTCGTGCCCCCCAGCATGCGTTAAAAATCTCATCAGCAAGTAGTCTTAGGTCATACCAAGTATCTTCGTTGTCAATCAGGTATGCTGGCGGATCGACGCTAGGGGCAACATCTACGATGTATCTCTTGAATGGAAAATTCAGATCGTTCATCTGCTGTAGCCCCTGAAGCACGTGGCGATAGGCTTCAAAATAAGCAGCAGATTCCGCCATGACAAAGGGGCCCTTGGTAAGAGCTGCATCAGTCAAAAAGCGAACTTCAATCAGACCCTTTTCCAAGGCTTTCGTGTCCCTGTTTTCCACCGTCGCGCACAAAATGGTCTGGAACCTATCCCTCGTCAGACAGATGAACGAACCGTACAAGAGACGTTTACTGGCTTCCCAACGCACACGCTTCAGAGGTCTTATGTCGAAATTCAATGTGTAGACAAAGCCGTTCTCTCCCATCGTTCTGCTCCGGATGAAGACGTTGTTGTAGATGCGGATGTCTTGAGGACGGCTACTGGTATCTGACAGGAACTCATTTACACCTTCCCTTAAGGGCGCCACAAAATCCTCTCTCAACAACCGGAACTGGACATCAAGGTAGTGCTCAACGCTCTCGTATCTGCCTTTGATGATGTTCTTTCTCAGAAACGGTTTTGTGATCTGTCGAAGTTCCCTGCTCTCCGGGAAGATTGGGATATCTCTGAAGTTGTTTGGCGGCGGTTTCTCCAAGGCACGCTGCTTAGCTGTCTTTTGAGTCTGTTCCACCAAGTTGTAGCTGGTCTTCAACTGCTGTAAGTCTACCACCAATCTTCCTGTTGTTGCTACTCGCTCTAGGAGAATCAAAGCTCCACTTACGTCGAAGTAACTGCCTGGCTTGTGCTGCAGAAAAAGCTGAAGCAATTTGAGTATCAAGCACAAATCGGTATTAGTAGGGCCCTCTTCCTTGAGACTACAAGTTTCTTCTTCTTCCTTAACAGGCAAACTAACCAAATACCTTGTCAAATGCTTACTCAGAAACGATGACGATTCAATCATGCTGAGCACTACATTCAATTCTTTAATATATGTGAATTCGCTTACAGGATCTATGTAGCTTAAGCAAGACAAAACACGGACTGTAAGTAGTAAGGTATGATCGCTGAACTCATCTTGGTTTAATAAGGATTGACATGCTTCGTTTCTCTTCACCAACTGGGAGAGAACATCTGTGGCTTCCTCTTCCATGAATCTTTGCAGTTCTTGATCGGTGAAGGGAGGTGTCTTGGCCTTTCGCTTGACTTCATATGGGGTTTTGTTTGTAGAGTGTGTGGACTTCTCCGATGCATCAGCTTCGGTTGTGGTGGAAGATCCACTGAAAAAAATTGAAATTGCAAATTATAGCTTAAATTGATACTTTAACTAGCAGGACCTATCAGGCTTCTTGGGGATTTCTAAGGACGAGGCCAAATTTGGCTGTCACCAACATTTTCATATTATTTGGCGGATCTATCTTTATTCTTGTAATTGTTTGCCATGGCCCCCTCCAAATTAAATTGGATATTGTCTGGGCTAAGCAAACAAAAACAATACAGAGCAACTGGGAAAGTAAATGAAATACATGTAAACGATAATGTTTGTTTAATCGGTTGCCGTGACAACAATAGAAATCCCACATTGTTTGAGCATTGTATACGTTGGCCTATTTAGTGGAGGCTCATCATAATTATTTTGCAAAGTATCATAATAAATCCATCATTTAAAATCATGCTCAAATATGTCTGAAATTACTATAAACGATTTGAAAATATTCTGTTTAAAACGATCGAATAAACATTCGTAAAAACGAAGAAATTTCAGTCGTGTGTATAGCAACATGTATCATTTCGTTTATTCTCATGACCCAAATATCCTACATCATTGAGTGGTCGGGCACAACCCGACCACTCTTTGGATTTGTTGCGATTAATCTTTCTTTCTTTCTTTCTTTCTTTCTTTTTTTTTCCGGACAATACTTCTCCGCGGGTTTTCTGTTAAACGGTATATGGTATGAACTTGTAACTTTCAATATATATCGACACTCATCCGAAGTGGTGCATATTACTCTCACGACATGATAACGTCATCAGGTGTCAAATTACAAGTGATTTTATCTGGAAAAGTGCCAATTACTTTCACCTATAACTCTTGAACTAAATATTCAATGATGTTTGTATTCTGTAATCAGATAGACCATTAATCGCTAATCATTTTTTGTTGTGTACGTGAACTCGCTTGACCTTTACTTCCGGGTCTACCGGAAGGTCAAAGTTAGGTGAATTCAAAATGAAGACGTTAGCCTAACATCAAAACAAAACAAAATTTCTTCCAAACGGTTCAAGGTATGATCACAAAACCTTGTGTGAACTTTTTATTATTAAAAGCGGCATCCTTGCGACGCGTGTCTGTTGCTAGCCGTGCAGGCCGTGCAAGTTCGTGTAAGTTATCCCCGTTTTCTTCTGTTATGGTGCCATCTCCTTGGAGATTGGAAGATCAGATACATAAACTGACGGGAAGAGTGCAGATGTCAGTCACAGCCTGACTGTAATTTTATTCCCTGACAGACTGCAGATCACAATTTGTCTGTTTTAATCGGGTTGGCGCAGAAGTTCTTCCTGGCCTCTCACATCCATGGCCCGAGTTCAATTCCTGGCCAGATCCACATGTTGATTGGGTTTTCAGTCTTCCTATGGGGCTGCCGTTCAAATCGAATTATCATGGACAGTATCGGACAAATTGTGATGCTCTTCAATCCGGCAAATTTGCCGACGGGGCTGATGTTGCCGACAAGACAACGATTTTGTCGCTTTGCCGACAAAAACGATTAAGGGGTGGGGAGGGGGAGGGGGTCATATCCTCCATCCCCCCCCCCCCCCTAGGGATGCTCGTGACTAGAGTTCTTCTTTTTTCCTGTGGAGTCGTCATGATCTCAAAATAGAATTTATGTCTACGGGCTCTTAACATGAACTATTATATTGGAGAAAAAAACCTAAAAACTAAGGAAGCTCCTTCGTCTTTGTTTAAAACATGTCACTGCCCACTGCCTGCCAATTAAGTTATCACGATGCTCTCTACAAAGTAAAGGCACACAACAGCGTGAAGTCATGCCTGAGAACCTTCACAGATGTCACATAAAAGTAATACATGTAATTGGACATTGTCACCACTACATGTATGACGCCCCATTACCACATGCGTGACAAGGCCAAATGATGCCACCAGTAAATTTCAATTAACTTGGAGCAATAACCGACCCCCCGCACAAATTAGCCTGGAACATTAAATTCCGGTTTCTCAAAGAACACAACAAATCTCCCAATTACTGCAGTATACCCATTCATGTTTGTTTTTGCAAATTTAGCCCCTCGATCGCCTCATTTCTGGGCTGGTGCTGCACTTTTTATAGCGGCAATGAATAATAATTGCCTTAGGCCAAAAAAAAAAGTCTCCGGTTTCTGGTATGGAGCTTGCCCAAAAAGTGTTGCGGCGACGTGGCTTTTTTTTTTTACCTGATTATTTTGCTTCAAATGTCGGCTGATGACTGCAAATGGTGCCCGACTAAACTTAGTGCAAATATATGGGAGTCCAGAGAGGCCACATGAAGCTTATTCTCGACCATAACCCAATCTAAAAACACGTTAAAATTGTGCAGCAGCGGGATTCCAGTCAAACCAGTGAGTTTGGCGGTTTTGAGACATCATCTTTCATTGAAAAAAAAAAACGTTTTCATTTTGCCGCCGCGACGCGCGCGCATACCAGAAACCGGAGACTTTTTTTGTTGGCCTTATATTGAACTTGTACATCAAGTTGCAAAATCTAGGGATCAGTACTGAAATTGTTTTAATGGTGTCCAGAGGCCCCTGAAAATAGAAGCTATTATGAGGAATTCCATAAAACGCCGGAACATATGGGGCCAGAAGTTCAATTTCAGAGAGTGACCTATTTAAAAAATATTCCTTGCAATCAACCCTAGTGTCACAAGAGTTTTATAGCATAACTTCTGAAACAAGTTCCTCCCCACACTTAAGCAAAATTTTCCGCAAATCCAGATCTTTCTTGAAAAAAAGGCAGTTTCTCATGATATAGATTTTGTCCAGATTGGACCCAAGACATCAAAGGCACTGCACGTGAAATTACTTAAATTAGGTACTGAAGAAATAATGGTTGGTATGGGACATCGCCGTGGCTATTTGCAGTTTGACCCAATTTTTAAAACCAGGTTCACTGAATTAACCTGAGGAGATGAATGTAGGTGCAATGCCAACTTAGATAAGAACCAACAAACTTCAAAGAAAAAAAACCGAGCGCTTCAGTTTCTGACCAAAAATCACCCACAGGGGATCAGCGGGAAGATTAGCTTCCTTCTGTGTGTCAGCAGGATTTGACAAACTACCGGACTGATTTTTCCCTTCAAAAAGCATCCTCGATTACTCTGTGTCGGCACCGAACAGTTTGCCAATTTGGTCTGGCGGTACTGACGGCAGTGTAAATGGCTGCCTGGAGAGATTCCTTGACATTACCATGTTACGAAGATGTTATAAATTTTGTTACGTCATCATGACGTCATCAGGTATCAAATTACAAGCGATTTAAGGGCAAATTTTGACAAAATAGTTTGCATTATATCTTTTGAACTAAATGCCGTGAGAAACATTTTGTGTTCCTAGACACAAAACCGCTTGACCTTTACTTCCGGTGTTACCGAAAGTGCAATAAAAACTGAATATAACTCAAAAGCGGAAGCATTTTACTACAGACTCATATATTATGAAAGTGATTAGTGAGGAATGCCAGACACAAAAAAAACAGTGTGATGACGTCATCATCCGAAAGGGCGCCCCTAGCGGCACATAAAATATTGTTTCTTTTCTTTACTTTTAAAACCATGGGTTCAAATTTTACCAAATCGACCCTTGATATTCTTTGATTAGCCACAGATAACTTGGCAAGGTTTCAAACTCATGACGTCATTAGACTGGAAGTTACTTCTATGAGAATTTGCCAACGATCATATTTTAAATTTAATTCTATCATTTGATCCATGTCGTATATCTTAGCCCAAATAACGATACCATTACAATGTTCACCTTTTGCTTCCAAACACTGTGACGTAATCAAACCGGAGGTTCAGTGTTATGAATACATACACTTATAGTTTCCAAATTTTCATACGTTATTTAACTTCACAATGAACATCCACTCCGAACTAAATCAGTATTCACTTCCCGTTTTTTGACTAATGACGTTATCAAGCCAGAAATAACTTGTATGTGTACATGTTTACTGAAATTTAATTGATTGTCCTGGAAAGGATTTAATTTCCTGATACTTTGTTCTTACATGAAAATATTCATAACTTAACTGGACAGTGTTTCATAAAATAGTTGTCTACCCGAACACTCTGCGTTTGTAACAACAAACGCGAATCTCTAGTTATTGTTGTAGTACTTGCAAATATCAAAGAAGGAAAACAAATAAGCGGAAAACACTTACAGGCCTCCTTTTCCTCGAGCGGCTTTTTCATGATCACCCTTGCCTCGGTTTCTTGCTTTAGCTGTTGTCTTGGACGATTGTTGCCGTCTTAAGTCAGCTCCTTCATCTACCCTTCTTCCATGACCAGGTTTGTCGCCATCTTTTCTCATGAAATCACGCCGTTGTCCGTGGTCTTGCGAGCGTGGTTTCTGTCGCTCTCCCGGCCGTCCACCTCGGGTAGCAGTTTTGGGTCTGGCCCCTGAGTGAGCCAAGCGAGAACCCCGTACAGGTGGTTTGTTTTCACCACCAGGCTTCGAGGCCTCAGCGTCCTCGGAACCTCCTGTGTCTTCCTGTGGATGTCTCGGTGTCCTCGGTCGTCGTCTCGCTTCCGTTCTCGACATCGTGTCTCTCATCCCTGATGAGTTTTGCCTAAGGGGAATCCGGGGATGTTCGCTGTCACTGAAAAAGCCCTCCCCATCGAATCCAGACGCCATGTCTGATAATGGTAGAAACATAGATAAATAAATAAAGAAATATTGACTTGGTAAGTTCCATCCTAGGGTGTAGCGTCTTGAACGGAGACTAACTGTACTGTGTTTACCTGGCAAATGGTAGGGGCGCGCTCGCGTGGTCAAAGGTTTGTAAGCACTGGAAACAAGCCAGGAAACGTACTCATATCATATAAAGATGGTTTGTTTCAGCGTATGACATCCAAGCTGGACAAAACACTTAACTACGACTTAAGGGTTAGCGCTATATAAATTTATCATTGTACTTTCAGTTTTGTTAACCAAACTTTCAAAAACTGTTTCTGGCTGTTTTTTCTTTATGCTTATCCAAATATCAGAACGAACAATATAATGACATTGAATATTTTGCATGGTGTGAAATACGTCTATATCGCATCGATTTGCGTTTGCACTTTGCACCGATTGGATTGCCACCTGCGTCAAATCATATTGTAATGAATCTGCGGCGTTCCATAGCTTAATTAATCCACCTCTCATCCCCAGAGGTTACTTTACTTTGAAGATCGTTTCAAATAGTAACCCCTGGATGGGAAACTTTCTTTGATTCGACACAGTTATAGACTTATGTTGTATACTTAGTGGTTTTTAATTTCCACGTGTAGGCTTTTTACAAATGTTAATGTTCGCTATGAATTATAACTTCCATTACACCTCACCAAAATAATTCCCCCATTTCCACTTCGCTCATATTAATATGAAATTTGATTCTGAATATTAGCTGGATCAAATTGTAACAGTTTAACTTTGTTTCCGCCACGACGATACCGCATACAAAAACAAACGCTGATGTAAAGCACAGCCATGCAGGCACCAGACTATTCCTAACTTTGCATACGTATCCAAACATTTTAGATTATGCAAACTACCAGGGTGAGAGCTAGAGCATGGAGCTAACTGCTTGACACAGCATGGGAACGAGTTAGCATGCACACCCGTGCACAACCGTTATTTTGTGAAACATATCACGTGCAGAACTATATATATTGCTTATATTCCATGTCGGTAAGTGTCAACCTCGTCCCCAGTGCTTACTTTATTTCCAACCTCGTTTCCAATAGTAAGCCCTTAACATGAAACTTTCTTCCTGTATCCTGATTCGATACCGCATTTGCTAGTAATGGATTTATATCGTGTAGTTGGTGTTGTTATGTTAAATTCCAACGTGCATTATGTGTTTTCACGATCATTGTAATTATAACGTCCACGCCTTCTCAAAAATACTCCTTTCCTTTCCAGTTTGCTCACATTAATATGAAATGTGATACTGCATATTGGCGGGCCAGATTGTAACATTTTTAAACAAAAACAAATCGTGCTTTCATAACTAACGGCGCGACGAATGGATGCTGTTTTTACCCCAGACACCGCATACAAAAACAAACGCTATTAATGTAACGTTCTTCCAGGCACCAGACTACTCCTCATTTGCATACGTGTTCAAAAATCTTGCACATGCAAATGATCCGATACTAGGGTGACGTGAGAGAGCAGGTAAGTTGGCGCGTACTGCTCGACACCCTGGAGACAAGGTTGGGTAAGTGTGGTTTCGTTGAAGCCTAGCCTGCTGCGTTAATTCACTAACTGGTCTGACGGTGGTCCAATTTCGAATTGTATGTAGAGAGAATTTTACATTTTCGTGTTTTTTCTTTATCCAAAAAGATGAATTTTCTTCCTTAAAATGTGTGTCATCAAGTCCTGGTGATACCCTTTTCTTCTTAATTATTCGTGGCTCTGGAGGAAGTCGACCCGTTTGTCCCGTTAAGAGATACGACTAGGAACTACGCGTCATCAAGCGCGACGAATAATTAGATGTAAAATGGTACATGTACAAAGTTTCTCCGATAAAACAGCCAGTGAGAGTACAGTGACTATCGTTTGTGAAGGCCTGCCCTACACGGCCTTCCTTTCAGATCTCCACTCCAATTCCAGTCTCCCCCCCCCCTCATTTCACCCCCCCCCCATTTCACCCCCTCCCCCATTTCACCCCCCCCCCCCCATTTCAACCCCCCCCCCCCAACACACCATTTTATCCTGTAATCGGTGATGTCTTATCATCTTGGCTCTGCGTCATTAATATTAATCATGACAGCAATTTGAAACAACTTACCGCTATCTAATCGGTCGATCGATCGATAACCGCCAGACGTCGCAATGTACAAACTTCACCAGCTATACTGTTTCCGCATTCCCTTTTAAAATGACTCTAACCATTCTGTTCCTGCGAATATTCCGGAGTACATCAAACGTTAGCCAAACATTGTACTACACACCGAAGCGAGACCGCCGTTAACCCAAGCATAAATTAAGTAGGGTCGCCTGCAATTCAACTTGAACGTGACACATGTACGCAGGGCATGACTCAACAGATAATGCTTGGTATAATGTGCAAGGCAAATAATCAGAAAACCAGCGCCTATCATCGTCAAACTTTAGCCCAAAGATATGATGAGTTTTTCCCCAACACGCATACATTGTCCAACCTCGTAACCGCATTAATAATTAATAGTATTTCTCATCTTGGAAATTCCCCTTGCACGCAATGTATGTGTAAAAGTACGGGTCAGCGTCAACCTCGTCCCCAGTGCTTACTTTATTTCCAACGTTGTTTCCAATAGTAAACCCTGGATAGGAAACTTCCTTCCTGCATCCTGATTCGATACCGCGATTGGCTAGAAATGGATTTATATCGTGTACTTGTGTTGTTATTCACAACGTGCAGTATGTGTTTTCGCGATCATTCGTCCACGCCTTCTCGAAAATATTCATTTCCTTTCCAGTTTGTTAATGTTAATATGAAATGTGATACTGCATGTTGTCTCGTTAAGATCGTAACAGTTTAATTAAAATAAAATCATGTTTACGTAACTCACGCCATGCTCGCGCTGCGACGAAATGATTCTGTTTTTACCCCAGACACCGCATACAAAAACAAACACAAATGTAACGCACAGGCAGGCACCAGACTACTCGTAATTTGCACACGTGTTCAAAAATCTTGCATATGCAAATGATCCAATACCAGGGTGAGAGAGCAGGTAGTGGTGGGCGCGTACGGCTCGACACCCTGGGGACGAGGTTGGGTCAGCGTTTATTTTGCTAGTCGTGTACGTGTATCACGTGACGTCTGACATTAAAGGGTTCATGAGATTAATTTTTCTGGAGAAAACATTTTGTGAAACTCTCTACTTCCCTTAATTGTATGAAAAGTATTTGATATCCCTTTTTGGTTAATTTGATTGAAAAGTGCACTTCTTTGAAACATTTACATTTTTCCATGCTTGTCCGGACGCTGAGGGTGTTGTTGCTGTGATGTCATTTCAGGAAGACACTGTTCAGTTTGATAGGTTTTCCGTCCAAATTTTGCACCCAACAAATTGTCAATTGAAAACATTTGTGAGAAACTTCTGTTCAAGTTGGCTTACTGCCATGTGACTCAACAACGCATTGGCAAAGAAAAGAACATTTACGGCAGCAAAACATCCAAAATACTGGCAACTTTTGATGCTGTAATAGCCAAGACGCATAGCAACCAATACATATATCGGAAGCAAAAAAGTAAGACTCGCAACAATAGTTCGATTTTTTTTTTCAAATGTTAAAATTAAGAATTATTCAATGCTCTCACATTTGTTTTATTTCGTATTCAATGCATCGATATTTCTGACAGTAAAATGACATTGTGAAAAGACAAGTGAACGTAGTATTGAGTTGCTCGACCCGTAGCCGCTTTACTCCGTTTCCTAACGAATGCTCAATGTATGTGTAATTTGAACTGAAAAGAAGTTAGCTTTGTTTTCTTTTTCTATTTATTTGAGACGTTTTCAATCGTCTGAAATATGTTTTTGTTTTGAGTTACTTTCGAGTGCATATTAAACGCACCAAAAAAATACACAATCGGAAATAAATCGAAATTTATTGAGTAAAATGATCCAAATAAACATGGGTGAGTTTTTTTGGGGGGTCGATGTCTCATCCAAAAGTAAATTAGTTTTGTTTTGCAAAGAAAATGTACATGTATATCGATTTAAAAACAATCCATTTTTCGGGGTGAAACTCGAAAACAGTTCGGAGAAAGTTCGGGGAAAGTAACATTATACCAGTCCTTGAAGTGAAAATCCACAATACAATTATTATATATTTTCTGCCTGATAAAACAGCCTGAACTATGCATAATGAGGTTTAAAGGAACAGTGGCATCATAACAGGGTTTCATCTTCCAACTGTGCCTTTATACACGCAAGCTGAGAAATCTACCAAATGAATGAAAAATTAGTTTGAAATGCATAGAACTGTTCAGACATGTATACAATAAAACAATTACAAAAAATAGGGGAAGACTTTACCATGTATTGGAAATAAAAAAAATTGCATAGGGTATACAAAAGCCTCTACATCACAATTTCTTTTTTCGATTTTTCTATTGTTTTTAAACATCACTATCAACCTACACAAGACTTATATATAGACGTCAAGTTCAATGGCTATCTTTTAAAACCAACTAAAGTTCCAATATATATATATCGTACATTGAAGCAAACCATTGCATTACATTTTTGTGCCTTCCCTGCAAAACCCAGAGACTTTTCTTAATCAGCTCATGAAACCATTTGCAGTATCAACAATAAATGTCTAGTAAGTTTCACATGCATCTATAAATAATCTATCATTCTTCCAAATGACTTAAAACGTCTGAATCCCAAACAAAAAGCACATACTGTTATTGAGAGGGTTGATTGTAAATAACTGTGTGAAGCTCGTCCACTGAGTAATTACACGTCCGATATTAATCGTTTGCGTAATTTGAAAGTTCAAATGGTTCACTATAATGCGGTTCCATTTGACACTGATTATTAGCCACCAACTTGAAACGCCTGACAAATTCATTCTAAGCAACTCTGTAGAATTAAATGTATAGAATATTTCGCAATGTAAAATATTATTTTAACCATTATTCTAAGC